GCTGTCTGTGGAGGTACAGTGCAACGTCACCAGCCCTGGGCCACAGCCCCAGCAGCGATCAGGAAGAACAGACCTCTAGCAGATGACCAGAGGAGACCCGGCGGCTGAGAGAAACAGGAAGGCCTCCCTGAGCCTGCCTCCTGGAAGCCTCTGTGGGTGGCAGAGCCTGGCGGCTGGCGAGGCTGCTCTCTGCTGCGTGCGCTCTGCTTCTCCAAGACTTTTGTTAGGCTCGGTTTTGGGGGCCCCTCAGACATGAATTTGCCTGCAAAGCACGTCAGGAGCTTGTGAAAACATAGGTTCTGGGGCTCCACCCAGGTTCCGGGGTTGGGGGGTGGGCGGCTGTGAATCTGCACTTCTAACCAGCTCCAGGGTGGTGGAGAATTCCCAGCTGGGCTCCGCTATCCTAGGCGGGGCTGGAACACTCGGCCCTAAGCCCAAGGGTGACAGATGCGCTATTTAGAAAGAGGCCTCCAAGGAGAAGTGGCTAAGCTCCTGTCCTTAGGGGCTGTCTCACTTCTAAAGCTTGGAAATAGTATTAATAGTTAGGTGAGGTGATAGCTGTCAGCTGACCTTAGTATGGTGATCATTTCGCATTGTAGGTGTATCAACATTGTACCCCTTAACCTTATGCAATGCCATAGAGCAACTTCATCTCAATAAAGCTGGTGTTGTTGGTCATGCAGTCGTGTCTGACTCTTGCAACCCTATGGGCTGTAGCCCGTCAGGTTCCTCTGTCCCCGGAAATAAGAATACTAGAATGGGTTGCGATTTCTCTTTTTGAGGGGATCTTCCTGACCCAGGGATTGAACCCAGATCTCCTGCACTGCACACAGATTCTTTACCATCTGAGCCACCAAGGAAGCCCCTAATAAAGTTGGGGATGGGGAGGGTGGTCAGAGGAATAAACCTTAGTTAGTAGATCTGGAGGTACTTGGCAAGGTGCCAGAAGCTTTCAAAACCACACAATCATCCCAGAGCAGAAACTTCATCCAAATACAGGAAGCAAGACATTTTTATGCTAAAACACATATGGTCATTTTATGAGAGATAAAACAACATTTGGATAAATAATTAGGACAAAACACACGATTCACATCCCAAAGAAATGTCCAGGCTCACCACTTGAGGCCATGGCCCAGGGCCTAGATGCTTGCTCCCCATCCTCTAAGCGGAGAGTGGGAAGCCCAGTCTCACAGGACAGCGTGTTCATGCGGGAACCAGCCTGTCCCTTAGGAAGCTGAGGGTCCTCAGGGACCTGGGGTCTGGCAGGGAGCTCCCTGGGCACTGGGGGCAGAGGAGGGGGCAGCAGGCCTTGCAGATGGGTAGGCTTTGGAAAAGCAGAGAGGACATTCCAACACAGGGGAAATTCAGTTCCTAAAGACCCCTTCACTGGAGAGGCACAACCAAGACCCCCCACAGAAGCTTTTAGGACCTTGCTCTGGGGCAGGCATCTGGGGGGAAAGCTCAACACCCCATACACGAACAAGTTCTTCATTGCCTGTAACTGCAAAAACCTACAGAAAACACCACAGTGCCATTTACAGCACATCAGTCTGATGCACTAGCATCGTTAGGAAGGTAGAAGCCTGTTTATTGGTACGGAAAGACCTAGCTAAAAAAAAAAAGCAAATTACGGAATGGTGCACATTAACACAATCCCATTTTGTTAATACAGCATATGTAACCAGAAGCATATACCTTCATGACAAAAGGGCTTTTAAATGTGCTTTTAATTTTTCTACGCTAATTGTGTATTATTTGAGTTACAGTTAAAAATGTTCCTAGCAGAGTATTTCCAGCCAAAGGCAGAACTATTATGGGAGAACTTCACCTTTCTTAGAACTGTGAAATCTCTAAAACAGAAAGTTAAATATGAAAACTATGTTCCACATGGAAAGCGATGGTGAGGACATTAAGGGAAAAAGCAGAGTATAAAAGGCATGTGTGCTATGTCTGCAGTTATGTGGATCAGCCTGGGACAGGGATGCACACAAAAAAACACAACTCTGCAAACAGGAGAGTGGCTGGGTGGTGAGGGTTTTTTGTCTATCTTAAGGCACTTTCTAATGGTGTAGTAACGCCTCTTTCCCTAATCAAAACCAGGTTTAACAGACAAAGGAAAACCAGGCTTTGTGCCATGGCTTGCACCCTCCCAGCAGCCCTGCAGTGGAGCAACAGCGCCGCACAGTGGCCACGGCAGGAAGGGCCGACACCTGTCACCTGGAAACGTGGCTGTTCCCCGGAGCGCCAGGGCCTGGCCCAGATGGGCGCTCAGGGCGGGGTGGCTGGGAAAGCAGAGATGCTGCATCCACAGAGGGACGGAGGGCACAGGCTGGAGAAATGAGCATGCAGAGCATACGACTCCTGCAAAGATCAGAGTGTTCCTCACCGCAGGGTGGGGTGGGCCACACTGCACCAAGAGGGTTAACAGACCCACCTAGGGGTCCCAGGAGAGGCCGAGGGGGAAGCTGACTTCAAGGCAGGGCTCTGCCACACCTAAGGCTCTGGCCAAGCGCCCGCTCAGCTCTTCCCTCTATGTTTCCATCTGTGAAAGGGGGGATACTCCTAGGGCCCTGCTGGAAGACTGGATTGAGGGCCAGAGCATGGAGGTGGCATCAAGTCCCGACTCTGCCATTTGGGGCTAGATGAATGTGGATGAATCACCAGACCCCAAACATCAGCCTCTTCATACACAGAATGGGCCTGATGCCAGGGCCAGCTTCCTAGGGCACCATTTCCCAAGCCAGATCCACAACAGATCCAGAAAGCAATGTGGTGAGTCACGGCCTTTAAAAAAAAATAGAATAGAAAATATCTATCCATGTAAAGGCTAATCAATTCCTGGCACTTAATATATTCTCCAAAAATGTTAGTTGTTATTATTCCCAATGGAGGCAATAGCACTGACTATTGTCACATCGGTTAAGAAAAGACTGACAGAAGGTCAAAAGCCTCTGGGATTCCTTTCAGGTGCTCAACTCTCCTCGGATTAAGGAGGCCCCTGAGTGCAGAGCTGGGGATGGCACTGGGGGTCCCTGGACAGTCAGCACCTTGCCCAACAATCTGCTACTGAAGTAAAAGTAGGAAATTAAAGCCAGCCCTTGCCAACCCCAAAGAGCATTTTCCTACCCAAAAAAGGAGTCGCTTTGCTAAGCACGTCTTTCAGCCAAAGGCTGGCACAAACCACGCAAGCCCATCTCAGTCTGACGGCAAGTAACATGTAGTTACTCAGAACGAGAGAGAATGAGTTCAAACAAATACAGACCAACACGGCCCTTGGGCTGCCCAAGGCAGATAATGAACTTCTCCCAACATGACCTCACTGTTGCTCCCACAGGGCCACTGATCCCCTCCCAGGTCAAGGCCAGCATGGCGGGGCTGGGAGGAGCCTGACTCCTGGGCACCAAGGAGCTGCAGGGCCTCCAGCTCTTGTCTCCCATCTCCCTGAACACCAGGGATCTTCCTCAAGTCTGGCTCCTTGGCCCCTCTAGGCTGGCCTCATGGAGACCCTGCAACCACAAGTCCCCATGTGCCCACCCTCAACATCACATAGGAGAGGAAGTCCTGCGGGCAGTGGGCAGTGGTCTCTGGACTGCACTTTCATGCTGTTGAAGTTGAACTTGCCTCTGCCTCATCTCTCTTTGGCTCTAATTTTTTTCTGGAACAGGACTTGCCAGACGGGCAGAGACAATGTCACCCTGGGTCTGCGGTCTGACTCTGCGGAGGTGGAGGGGCAGAAAGACGGGGCCGTGACATCTAAGCCACTTACCCTACACGAGAGCCCCAAGAGACCAGTTGCCATCACTACCTTGTGCTTCTGCAGCAGAAAACTGGAGGAGAGGGATAAACTGCCAGGACTCCAGCCCAGGCAGTTGGCTCCGAGGTCTCGGACAGGATTCCAAGCTCCATTTGTACCCCAGCACCATTGTTCCCCAGCCCTCTGACCGTGGGCAAGGCATCTGGCCCCTGCAGACGTCAGTCTCTTTAATATGTCAAGTGACATGACAACGGCTGTTTGCGGGGCGGGCTGTCAATGAGACACAGGAGACAAAGGGCACGGTACAACACCTGGTGTGCAGTAGGTGCTCAAAACCAACAGTTTCCACCTTGTTTCTTGCTCATTTGGGCCAAGAAGTGAGGGTCCTGGGTGGGGTGGGGGGTGATGGTGCTGAGTCTGTCTGCCTCCCCTATCTCCTTCTGGTTGGGAGGTCCTGCCCACCACCTCAGCCGGTGCCCATTGGAGAGGCCTGGGGACCAGATGTCTGGTTCCCCAGTCTCATCTAGCCTGCAGCCCCTCCCCCAGCTCAGGGTGCTCACCATGGGGACTCAGGGGCAGCTCACTGACTGGCGGAAGGCAGTCAGAGGGCCAGGAAAGGAGATGGAAGAGGAGGGTGCCAGAGTCAGGACACCGAAGGGCCTTCAAGACTACAGCTAGCCTTCTCTTCTCCAGTGCATGTGCGTGTGCACGTGTGTTCACACATGTGCGCGTAGAGAGAACCACAGTCTACACAGGCTGACTCTACCTCCTTCCATCACTCTCAGCCCCTAAGGGGTCACCAGTCCCCTCCAGCCTTACCTTGGGGAGGCAGGGCCAAGGTAAACAGCCCCACCTTCAGGGCAGCGGGACCCCGGCCACGTGAAGCAAGTCACAGGCTCCACGTGAGCTGGACAGAGAACCCAGGCCTCCTGGGCCGGGTTCAGGATGTCTGGGCTGCTGAAGTGTCAGGGTTAGGGTGGCAGCTTGCCAGGCCTGAGTGCAGAATGCTGGGGGACCACCCTGTGACCACAGAGGGGCAGGCGATACCTGGGCCCAGCCCCAAAGACCCAGGAGATATAGAGGATGAACAGAGAGCTGGTCCCCCTGAGTACTGGGCCCCCTCGGGGTGATGATCTAGGGAGACGAGTTTTCTCCAACTCCCAGAAGAGAGGGAGGAGCCTAGAGCAAGCCAGACAGTGTGGGGGGGGGCCCACCCACCCCCCACCCAGAAGGGGAGACATACCGCATGATGCCCAGAGGGTCCAGGGCCTCCTCCTCCTCCTCCGAGGATTTCCCTGCATCCCCATCCTGCTGGCCCAGCGTGGGGAGACCCTCATCTTCCACTCGGTCCTGCTGCTGGAAGAAGTCCAAAGCATCCTCGTCCCCTGCTTGGCTGTCTGCGTCTAGAACCGAGACATCTCTGCCACTGAGATCCGCGGCCCCGGGGGACCTGGTGCCTGTGGAGGGAAATGGAGAGGGTGCCTGACACCCACCGCCGGGAGACGAGGAGGCACCTCCCAGCACGCGAGCTCCTGCACCAGCACCCAGGGCTGGAGGCCTCCTCCCGTGTCCTGGGACTAGGACGGCAGGTCTGTGTGGGTGAGTGTGGGCGGGCTGGTCAGCAAAGCATGGAGTGGAGCAGTTACAAGCGGGAGCCTCAGAGAGACAGCAGTTCCTCAACCTCTGCAGCCTGGGCCCGTCGGGACTACAGACAACAGTCCACGGGCTCATGGCAGGAGACCAGCCAGTGTCTTGGTTCTCACAGAACAGTTCCGGAAACGACGTGCATGTGGTGGGGCACATCGGGGAGCTCTGCCTAGCCAACCCCTGATGAGACCTGCCCTGAGGGTCTAGACTATGAACTCCATGAGGCCCAGTGAGCAGGTGGAAGATTCCAGAACAAACTGGGACAGCTTGACCACAAACTGACTTACACAAGCACTTCTCAAAGCGTGGTCCACTGGCGGGTGTCCACAATGAGGTAACTACAGAAAGGGGGAGCAAGCATCCAGAAACTTCCATAGCACCTTGGAATGCTTGTCTGCGACAGATCGGGAATAAAAATGGTTAGCCCTTCCCCCACCGACGGTTTGAAAAGCATGGGTTTAGAATGCTTAACTCCATCCAGTTACTGAACAGCGTATTTTTGAAAGCAGTGAACTTCTAAGACACATCACTCTGTGGGTAAAGAACACATCAGCATGCCCCAGAGCGCCTGGAACACAGGATGTAATGTGTACACTGCTATGACATGTGGAACTAACTGGTATTGATTATGTTGTATTACATTATGCTTTGTTATTTTATTAAGACAAATGTAAAATCCCTTTCAAAATCTCATGAACCTTCAATTTCATGGGGTAAGCATCACACAAAGAGCATTTTTATAGATATGCTCAGTTGCTCAGTCGCATCCAACTCTTTGCGACCCCATGGACTGTAGCCCACCAAGCTCCTCTGTTCATGGAATTTTACGGCAAGAATACTGGAGTGGGTTGCCATTTGACAAGTATAAATTCATTTAAATATTGCAAAAATCTCATGTGAGAGATCCTAATTGTACCTTCATTTTAGAGATAAGGAAACCGAGGCACAGAGAGGCTAGGAATGTCAGATCACCTGATCCTGCTTCCCCATAAGTGTGTGTGCATGTGCACGTGTGTGTGTGTGTGTGGGGGTGTGTGTGTGTAGGTGCTCTGGAAGGGGTTGGCCAGGAGGGAAGCGGGAGGGGTCAGACTATAGAGAAGGCCCCTGGGTGAGCTCCATCTAGCACCCAGGCAGTCAGTCCTCCAAGGCTGGGTCCCAGGCCCCTTCCACCCACCACCCACGACCCCGGCCCACGCATGGCAGTGAATGAAGCGCACGTGCCTCAGCAGCCTGGCCGAGGTCTCTGGGCTGCAGAGGGTGCTGTGGACCACCCCCCGCCCCCCTCCTCCCAAGCCAGGGCAGCGAGGCCTCGTTCTGGGCCAGGGGCCCCTAGGGATTTGGGACAGGGCCTCAGGTACCTAAGAATTCCAGCAGCTCGGGGCTGCCTGCCAGCTCGGCATCCTTGGAGACACAGCGCAGAATCTCGTCGAACAGGGCCCTCCGCTCCCGGATGTCACCCTCCCCAACAAACAGGACCTTCCTGGGGAGCGGGGGCAGGCTGGCCGTTGGGTAACGACTGCTGAGTTTCTGGTAAAACTCCTCAATGTCACTGTACTTTTTGGAGACCTGGAATGAGAGGAGCAGGTGGTTTCCTGAGTGAAAAGGTAAATCAGAGAGGGCTTTTCCCGCCCCCCAACCCCAACAGAAGTCCCCAAAAGGGCTCGGCTCCTCGGTGGGCCCTCCTCCGGGACCAGATGAAGGTGCCTCCCTCCCGACCCTCTGCCCCACGCCCTAAGCCTCCTGATCAACACTGAGCAGAACCCCCGAAGTCCCAGTGGCCCAAAGGAAGGATGCAATCGTGGTGGATTCAGGGTCCTGTCACCAGTCTGGGTAGAGACACTTGATTCAGGGACTTGGCCTGCAGGTGACTGTGACCTACACCTCCATTCTGGGCTTCTGTGCATTAGTGGGGTGACCTCACGGTCTGGCCGGCTGTTAGGTCCTCTTCCGGCAGTGAGCCACCTTTTCTCTGGGTCATTCTCCTGTGAACTAGCAACAGCCTTCGACAAGGCCGGTCCTTACAGTGCTCAGATGGTGGAGAACAGATATGGTAAGGCTGGTTTCTGGTCCTGGGGCCAGCCAGGACCCCTCTGCACACCGGAACCTCAGGGAGGCAGGCTGGGGCTCCTCTTGGCTGTTAGAAGGTGGTCCTCGGCCGTCAGAGTCACCCCTGGTCACTCGGCTTCCTGTGGAGCTGGGAGGTAACTGCTACCACCTCTCGGCCTCTCCCTGGAACTCCCGCTGCAGCCAAGGGCTCGTCCACTCATCAAGCTCTTGCTGTGTGTTTACTCTACATGGGGACACCCAGCGTGGTCTCTGTCCCCGAGGCTCCAGGCTTCCAGTTAAGGGAGGAGCTGTAGGACTGGGGATCGGCGCCGTCACTGCGGTCTGTGTAAGCCAATGCAGGCACTCAGAGAAGTCACCCTCTCCACGCCACAGCCCACAGCCCAGGGTCATCCCTTGTCCTGGGCTCCTCTGTGCTCTCCCCGCACGCCGGGCCTGTCCCCTCAACTCCTTGGGAGCATTAGGGATGAACACAGATATGCCCACCTCTGCTCCCAGACCAGGGCTGTGCGCCCAGCACACACGGAAACGCTGACGTCCCTGATGGGCTGTGGGGCATCTGGATGCATTCAGACAAGGGACAGCCGGCAGTCCGGTCGCCCAGCTCTGTTGGAGCACACAGCCCCGGCTGTCGAGCATGGGCATCAGAGCCCCCAGGCTGGGAGAGTTCCAGATGCTGGCAGGTAGCTGGGGTACTGGGAGACTCCAGGAACCCCCAGTGGGGAGTCTTCTGAGACGGGGGACTGTGGCCTGTAGTTGTCATAACAGAGTTTGACTCGGGAGCTTTGCTGAGAACAGCTTTCAAGGAAGGCTTTCAAGGAAAGGTAAGAGCATCCTTTCACAAAAGTGATGCAGGCTCCAACTCCTGGTGGTCCCCCAAACCTGACTCCACCAGGTGGGGGGCTCAGAGCACCCTCTTCAGACCTGACTACTCCATGCAGGCCAGGCCACCGGGCCCACCAGGACCCAGGTTCTGGGAGCCAGCTGTGGGTCTCCAGGGTGCTGGGGGTACCATGGACAGCCTGGGGTACCATCCCATCCCAGGCCCACACTCACCAGTGCTCCAAAACAAGGGCTGCCACTCCTTTTAAGGAACAGAAAACAAAATGCTCATTCTTTTTTAAAGCTAAATCATGAAACTTCAAAGAAAGTTCAGGTTTTGGGATACACCCCCAGATCTCATAGGGTGTAAATGCGTACTTGGCTCCCACAGGTGGTTCAAAATGTTTGAGGGGCAACCCCCTGCGTGGGCACCCTTGCACACAGCTACCCACAGGGCAAAGGTATCACTGGTCAGGAGAAAGTGGCACAGGTGCAACCATGGAGGGGTCAGAGTTGTCCCCACACACCCTCGCTGGGAAGGCCAGCCAGGACCCAGCGTTGTCAGCCAGGGCCTCTCATGGGCCCCCGAGTGCTGCCTCTCTGTCTTGCCCAGGGACTTGGGTCTCAGATAGCTCTTCTTTGCTCCCATCTCTGAAAAACGTAGGTACTCTAAGCTCCACTGGGGTCAAACCAGATTTGACCCCACCCAGTGGAACAAAGCAGCTCCTACCTGCTATCACGCTGCACCTTGGTTCTCACCAAGAGTCTGTTTAAGAAGCAAATGAAAAAAATCACTCTTCAGACACTTTCCAGGATGTGCTGAATGTCTCTTAATCAAAAAAACTGCCATAACTTCTTATCTCTTAGAATCTAGTATGTGAAGTGTTAGTCGCTCAGTCGTGTCTGACTCTTTGCAGCCCCACGGACTATATAGCCTTCCAGGTTCCTCTGCCCATGGCATTTTCCAGGCAAGAATACTGGAGTAGGGTGTCATTTCCTCCTCCAAGGAATCTTCCCAACCCAGGGATTGAATCTGCATCTCTTGCTTCTCCTGCATTGGCAGGCGGATTCTTTACCACTAGCAACACCTTTTTGCACTGAGGCAATCAGGTGTTCTCTTGGCTTCATGAACTTGTACACCCAATTCCTTTCCCCAGTTTGAGAGATGTTCTCCACTATCATTTCTTTAAATAAACTCTCTGCTCACTTCTCTCTCTCTCTCTCCTGCTTCTGGGACACTCAATATCCTAAGGTTGCCCTTCCTAAAAGATCTGGATAGTTCTTGTAGAATTTTCCCTCTGTTCTTTTGAATCTTAATTCCCTTTCCTCTTCTAACTGTATCATTTCTAGACTTTTATCTTTAAACTTGCTAATTCTCGCTTCCATGTGGTCTTCTCTACTTCTAATCCTTTCTAATATATGTATTCTTCATCTAACTTACTGAGTCCTCCAGATCCAGAATTTCTGTTTGGTTCTTTTTTAGAGTTTCAATCTCTTTGGGAAAGTATATCTTCTGCTCATTAACTTCATTCCTGAGTTCTGAGTTTTCTTGTTGCTTGTTGAGCTTCTTCATGAAAGTCATTTCGAATTCTCTATCAGGTTGCACTGTTCTGGGACTTTAAATTTAGTTTCTAGAGAATCATCATTTTCTTTTTGTGCCAGTGTTACTGTTATTCTTCATGGTCCTCGATGAGTTCTTCCTCTACTGGGACACTGAAGCATGAAACACCTTTCTTCTTTAGATAAAGCTTTTTCATTTTTTAAAATATGATTTCTAACAAGTCAAGTGAGAGGCTTTTCTTTTATTCCAGCAGGTGGCGCCATAGCACAAGTTTTTGGGGTTTTTTTGCGTTCCCAAAGCACTGCAGATGGTGACTGTAGCCATGAAATTAAAAGACTCTTGCTCCTCGAAAGAAAAGCTATGAGAAATATAGACAGCATATTAAAAAGCAGAGACATTACTTTGCTGACAAAGGTCCATCTGGTCAAAGCTTTGGTTTTTCCAGTAGTCATGTATGAATATGAGAGCTGAACCATAAAGAAGCCTGAGCGCCAAAGAACAGATGCTTCTGAACTAAACTGTTGGAGAAGACTCTTGAGAGTCCCTTGGACTGCAAGAAGATCCAACCAGCCCATCCTAAAGGAAATTAGTCCTGAACATTCACTGGAAGGACTGATGCTGAAGCTGAAGCTCCAATACTTTGGCCACCTGATACGAAGAACTGACTCACTGGAAAAGACCCTGATGCTGGGAAAGCTTGAGGGCAGGAGAAGAAGGGGACGACAGAGGATGAGATGGTTGGATGGCATCACCGACTCAATAGACTTGAGTTTGGGTAAGCTCTGGGAGTTGGTGATGGATAGGGAGGCCTGGAGAGCTGCGGTCCATGGGGTCACAAAGAGTTGGACATGGCTGAGTGACTGAACTGAACTGCACTGCCTCTAGTTATAGTAGAAGGCTGGCACCTTCCAGCCCTCCACTGCCCCTGCTGGAGGTGTGGCCTGGTGCCCCGTCATCACTGCTTGTGCCTCCATGGTTGCTGACACCTTGCTGCCATCACTGCCTAGGACACGGGGGTGATGGGCCCTTCCGCTGTGTCACAGGATTGGCCTCCCATGGGAGCGGGTGGGGCTGAGGCCACCTGCATTTACGCCGTGTCTGGGGCTGTCAGGTTTAGGGATGCCCCCGCTGTGGTTGGGGGGGTAGGGAGGGGAGAGCTGTGGGCCAGCCCCCCACCTGGAGGGAAGGGGTGGCAGGCCCTGCTGCCCAATCCCTGTGGCTGCAGGCGGCTGATGAAGCCAGGAGGCTGGAGGTGTGTGTGCTGCCTCCCTGATGCCACTGGGTCCCGGGGGCTGTGGGCTTGGCCCCCAGGGCTGGGGATCCATGACTGCACGCGCCGCCTCTACTATTCCCCCAGCTCTGCCTCCTCTGTGTGTTCCGATGGGCCCACCTCTAGATGGACAGATGTGTGGGACTGCGGTGGGTGTTTTACTGGCTGTAGATTGAAGGGGAGAGACCAAAGGAGAGCCTAATGCTGACGGCTCCACCTGCTCTTCACACCACAGCTCAGCTCTGTCCTCCCTCTGAACCCTTCCCCTAGGATGGCTCAGGTGCCCCCTCTCGACACCCCCACAGCCCCCGCGCCCCTCCCCTTGGGCTCCTGTCTCTTCACAGGTCTGTCTCCCCACAGACTGTCAGCATCTGATTCACTGGTGTCCTTACTGCCAACGCACTCTGACATCCTCCGATTGAGGGTTGGCTAGAGCATTGCTCACGCCCTGCAGCTACCTGCACCTTGGTGGGAGGCATGTTTGTCTCCTGGGACCCCTGGACCCTGGGCGCCCTGGGGAGCACCCTGCCAGAGCCCCCAGCTCACCAAGAACTGGACGACGTCCTCGGGCCTGTGCTTGGCCGACTTGAACGCAGCCAGCCGGGTGACCACCAGGATCTGGTACTCCACGTGCCCTGACATCATCTTGCCCCGCACCTCCTGGTGCTGCGGCACGCTCAGGTCCAGGCCCGTGTGGACATTCTGAACTCGCCTGCCAGAGGGAGAGAAGGCAGAGGAAGGTCAGGTTCAAGTCCGCAGGCTTCTGGAGCGAAATGCTGCTAAGTCCTCAGGTGATCCCGTGGGCCTGGGTGCAAGGCCGCTCCGCTGGGCAAGTCCTCAGGGGTCCAACTCCTGGCTACCCGCCCCCCCACTAGCCAGCCCCTCCTGAAGCCTGGCTTCCCAGGCCAGGTCCCTGCCTGTGGGTCCCTCAAGAACAAAGGCCGGTTCCCAGCAGGAAAACAGGTGACAGCAGAGAAGACGGGGCTCCTGGAAACAGCAGATTCTTTGCTCCGATGGTAAAGAATCTGCCTGCAATGCAGGAGACTTGAGTTCGATCTCTGGATCGGGAAGATGCCCCAGAGAAGGAATTGGCAACCCACTCCAGTATTCTTGCCTTTGAAATCCCATGGACAGAGGAGTCTGGCGGGCATTCATCCATGGGTTTGCAAAGACTCAGACACGACTGAATGACTAACGCAGGTTTTGAGTGGATACTTGGCAAAATGTTACAGCTCTTTTGAGAATTTTTAAATGCTACACAAATGCAATGAATCGCACATTGAGCAAAGAAGTTATGAAATGTTTTCCCTGAGGTGAGAAAAAAGGCTAAATGTATTCCTCATTCTGGGTGAGGGTATCATGGAGACCTGTGCATGGTTTAAACATAAACCATGTTTAAACCTGGTTTAAACATAAACCCACGACAGGACACGCTGGACACAGCGTTATCAGGGTCCAGACCTACCCTCTGCAGGGCAGGACTTTCAGAAGACAGGAAAGGGGAGGGCCTGAAGGGTTGGGCTGCCAGGGTGACAGCTGGGACATGGCCGTTCCCTGCCCCAGAACTCTGCCCCAATCCAACACGTGACACCCTGCCCCCTGCACTCCTTCCACACAGGTCCCCACCCCCTTCCACACTGGGCAAGTGACACCATACCACGATGCCATCTGTCACCAGCTGGGAGGACAACCCACCATACAGTCACCTACTACCAAATGTAGCAACCTCTACACCCACGGGCATTTTCACAGGGTGGAAGGCAGGGGTCCCCAACCCTGGACCACAGATGGTTACTGGTCCAGGTTAGGAACCTGCCCGCACAACAGGAGGTGAGCAGCCTGCAAGGGAGGGAAGCTTCAACTGTATTTACAGCCGCTCCCGTGGCTCGCATTACCACCTGAGCTCTGTCTCCTATCGATCAGGGGGCAGCACAATAAATGCAAGAAATGTAATAAATGTAATGAGACCGAATCATCCCCAAACCACCCCCACCCACCCCCACCCCGAATCCCTGGAAAAACTGTCTTCCACAAAACCGGTCCCTGGTGCCAAAAAGACTGGGAACTGCTGGTATAGTGAAAGAAAGTGAAAGCACGAATCACTGAGAAAGGCCTGGGCGAACCTCCCTTCAGGTGGGTGTTAAGTTCAGCATTCATGTGCCACTTGGAAAAGCAAACGATCAGCCTCCTTTCCTTTGGCCAATAACCAGACGAGCGTCCTGGCCTTCCCACCGGGAGCTAAGGCCCTCCACTCCTGGCGCTGTGACAGTGTGGTGGGCACAGGACAGCAGAGGGGACTAAAGGCTAGAGGCACCCCCATGGGCTCTGCCGTGGGGACCTCACCTGTCGAAGGTGCTCCCGCGGCCCTACAGAGGGACATGGCCGCTGAGACCCGCTTCAGGTCAGGGAGTGTTCTGATTGCTCAGGCATGTCCGACTCTTTGCGACCCCATGGGCTATACAGTCCATGGAATTCTCCAGGCCAGAATACTGGAGTGGGTAGCCCTTCCCTTCTCCAGGGGATCTTCCCAACCCAGGGATCAAACCAGGGTCTCCTACATTGAAGGCAGATTCTTTACCAGCTGAGCTATCAGAGAAGCCCAAAGTCAGGAAGTATGTTAGTTGCTCAGTTGCGTCCGACTTTTTGCAACCCCACGGGCTATAGCCTGCTAGGTTCCTCTGTTTATGGGATTCTCCAGGCAAGAATACTGGAGTAGATTGCCATTTCCTTTTCCAGAGGATCTTCCCAACCCAGGGATCGAACCCGGTTCTCCTGCATTGCAGGCAGATTCTTTACCGTTTGAGCTACAAGGAAGCAAACACAAAAAGGGACTCACCAGTACTCGGGCTCAGCGGGTCAGAGGTGGAGCCAGGGTTCACTGCAGGCTGCCCCCTGCCTCCCTGCTGACCTGCACCTCCTAACAGCCCTGCTTACTGCTCCGTCTCGGAACACCACACCAGACAGTTTCTCGGGGCTTCCATCCGTGACCCGCCCCCGCCACCCCACACATTTCCACTGTACCCCTCGTCCTGTTGGGCCGCCCCAGTTGAGAGGCCCTGCCCCACGGCTGGGATCACAGACTCAGGTCCCCTGCCCACTCCCCTAAACCCACCAGTTCTCCATGTCCTGGGCACCAGAGTCCGGCAGCGGCAGGCCACTGGGCTAAACACACAGACACGCCGACGAAAGCGTTAGTGGCTCCGTCGTGTCCAACTCCTTATGGACAGCAGCCCACCAGGCTCCTCTGTCCATGGGATTCTCCAGGCAGGAATCCTGGAGGGGGTTGCCACTCCCTTCTCCAGGGGATCTTCCTGACCCCAGGAACGAACCCCAAGTCTCCTGCACTGCAGTTAGACGTGTTGACTGGTCCCACTTGAAATTCACGGCCACAACCAGCAAGCTGCGGTGCTGGGCCGGGCAACCCCAGCTTGGTCTCAATCTAGGGGGTTCTCCAAGTGTGGTCCTCGCCGCATGAGCCCCACCTGAGAGCTAGTGAGAAAGGCAGATCCAAGCTCTGCTAAATCAATCCTCACGTTAACAAGCCCCCCCGGGACTCTCATGCCCATGAGCCTAATCCACTCTGTCTCCCACTCTCCTCGGGCCCCTAGGGAAACTTTTTTGTGAAGGACCAGATAGTAAATATTTTCGGTTTTGCAGGCCATAGGGTCTCCATTACAACCAGACCCAACTCAGCCACTGTAGATCAAAAGCAGCCACAGACGGTACATAAACTGATTTAAAAAGTGAGTGGGGGGTAGGCTTTGGCCCATGAGTGTAGTCTGCCCACCTATACCCCAGACCAAACTTTCCGAACTGTGATGTGCCTTCCCAGTTCCCCTGGTGATCTTGTCAACACACAGATGCTGATCCAGCAAGGCCTGAGAGTCTGCATGTCTAACCAGCCACCAGATGATGTAGGTACTGCTCCCAGGACCCTCCCCCGCCCCCGCCGCACTGAGTCCAAGTCGCCTAAATCCGCGACCCCCAGGACCTGCTCTCTCCCCACAACCCTGCTTCCTGTGTACTGAAAAAAGAGAAGCGGTGGGAGAACTTCCAAGCACATCCCTTCACACCCACACCTGGCCTGCGTCTGCCTCCCCTGCTGTTGGGGACAAACTGGCTGGCTCCTACCTGAGACAACCCCTCACCTACTCAAGGACGTCAAGTCTTCTGTCTTCTCTGTGCCATCAATGTCCCCTCCTTACTGGATCACTCCCACTTCTCTGACAAACCGAAGCTGTCCTTCCACCCAAGCTTCCACCCAATCTCCCCCTCGAGCTACTGCTCCATTTCTGCTCCCTCTTCCAGCAAAACTTCTCAAGAGTATGGCATCTCAGGTTCCTCTCCTCTCTGACCTTGAACTTTTTCTAACCAGTCTTTTGTTCTCATCCTGCAACCGAAACAGCCCATGCCCAGGTCACTAGTGACCTCCATGTTCAGTTCAGTTCAGCCACTCAGTCGTGTCCAACTCTTTGTGACCCCATGGGCTGCAGCACACCAGGCTTCCTTGTCCATCACCAACTCCCAGAGCTTACTCAAACTCATATCCATTGAGTCAGTGATGCCATCCCACCATCTCATCCTCTGTCGTCCCCTTCTCCTCCCGCCTTCAATCTTTCCCAGCATCAGGGTCTTTTCCAATGAGTCAGTTCTTCACATCAGGTGGCCAAAGTATTGGAGTTTCAGCTTCAGCATCAGTCCTTCCAATGAATATTCAGGACTGATCTGCTTTAGGATGGACTGGTTGGATCTCTTTGATGTCCCAAAGGCTAGTTCTACCTCACTTCTTACTCCAGAGGTATCTGATGGCCCCTCTCTGCTCCTCGAGGCTCTGGGACCCCTGCTCTCTCTCTCTCGGTTCTCCAACCCCCCTGGCCACTCCTACTCAGCTTCCCTGGATGGTCCCCAATCCTGCCCCAAGTGCCCGCCTTACACCTTTTCTCTCACTCACCTTCCCCAGGGATTTCAAACATGTCCAAGGTTTTAAATCCCATCTATGAGCCAGTGGTACCTCATTCCTCTCTGATCTGATCTCTCTGATCCCCTCAAAGCCACACTCCTCCCAGTTGCCTGCCCAACGTCTCCACGTGGCTGTCAGAAAGCTTCTTAACGAACATGTCCAGACTAAGGGTGATTCTCACCTTCCTAAAGCTGCTCCATCCATAGTCTCCTGGGCTGGTCCATTGCAATGTCCCTCTTTCAGGAACGCAAGACAAGTCTTGCAGTCAATCTTGACTCCTCTTTCTTGCTCTCATGGCCCACATCTAATCATCAGCAACCCCTGAAAGCTCAATCTTCAAAATATAGCTAGAACCCAAACATTTCTAAGGCCCTCTGCCAGCATCAGCTCTCACATGGATGACTGCCAAGAGTCTCTTGAATGGTCTCCTCGCTGCACCCTGCTTGCCTCCCTTCCGCTCAGCACAGCAGCCAAAGGACCTTTCTGGAGTCCAAAGCAGGTCCCACCATGCCCAGAGCCTCACCCCAGCCTGGGGAGCCTGTCCTGACTGTCCCCTGCCTCCAAGCCCCCAGATGTGGTAAAACTCTGCACCACATCACCCAACTCTCTGCTGGCTCACTGCACTGCAGTCACACTGGCCTCCTGGCTGGTGTGCAAACATCTCTTGCCCCAGGACATTGGCTCCTGCTGTCCCCTCTGCCTGGTACCCTCTTTCTTAAGATTCCTCTTCCGCTTGTCAGGAATCTACCCAGTTGCCACTCTCTATCAGAAAGACACTCCTGGACCACACCATATAAAACAGCATTCATTCCTCCTAGCATCCCATTTCCCTACCACTTTATTTTCCTTTATATCATTTATCATCCCTGGCACACCATACATTTATCTATTATCCATCTGCCCCACAAAAGCTCATGAGAGAGACTGTGTGTGGTTCACTACAGTATCCTAGAACCACTCACCTGGCCTTCACCACCAGCACCTGCATTTGTTAAGAAGCCCTGTTCAGGTGGGGCAGAGAAGGAAGCCCCCTCACCCCCTTCCCAGGCTCCCAGCTCCAAGGTCACACCCCCACTGGTCTGCCGCTGGCCCTGCTCAAACCTGCCAACCTCAAACCTCCTATCTGCAGAAAAGGAAACTGAGGCTCAGCGAGAGGAGGTGATTCACGTGGCACTAGAGAAACCTCTTCTGCCAGCGAGGACACGACCAGCCACCACGGAGAGGAGACCAAGAAGGTTCTGACATCAGAACCTTAAAGAATCATACTTTTCCAGACCTGAAGTCACAAGGATGTTCAAATTACAGCTGGAAAAATTTTACATTCATTTATGTAAGAGATTGATGTCTTAGCCTAAGATTTTGTGTAGGGGGAACAAGGGTGGAGTGTGTGAAAACACTTAAAATGAGTCACTTGACAAATGTGAGAAAGGGGGAGACGGTAAAACCACGCTCACCCCAGCCTTCAGCATCCCTCTTGTACTGAATCCCCACCCTGACCCAGGGATCCTCTGCCTCCAGGGACCCTCTGGAGGCCTCTGCGGTAACTGCACTTTTCCTGGGCTACCTGTTTGAGCAGCTGCCACCTGTCCCCTCCCATTCCCCTAGAGGACCTGGCCTCACGCTCCCCCACCTAGCAGAAGCCGGGTTACACCCTGCCATGTGTTCCCATGGCAACCTGAAGCCACCCTCACCCCCTAACCCGGTCAGCATCTGTCCTCGGCCAGTTTCCTCTGATGGGCCGAGCCCGGTCTGATTCACCGGGCCCCGGGCCTGGCACAGTCAACGCTGCCAGGATGCCTAAGTAGATCTTGGAAAAGAAAGGAAGGCAAGTCAGCGGGAAAGGGGTGAGGAAAACCCCTTCTTTGACCACCGCGCAGGATCGGCCGATCCAGGCCTTCCACTAGGTCTTGGATGAGTTCGTTACCCTCTAGAGGGACCATAGTTTCCCCATCTGTAAAACCGGAGAGGGGGGCGGGCGGCCTCTCCCGCAGGGCCAGGGAGCGGCCGAGCCCAGGTCCACGGCCAGCGGCGCTGGGGACGCCGGACGCCGGGCGCCGGGCGGGATCCTCGGGACCCGCCGCCTCCTCCGCCCGGGACACCTAGGGCCGCTGCTCCCGGGCCCTCCCGACTCCACACGGCCCGAGCTGCGGCCGGGGCGGGGGTCTGGCTCACCTGGAGGTGACGAGCACTGCTGGGGACTGCATGACGGCGAGGGGCTCCGGGCTGGGCGTGCGATCACGGGACCGCGGGCGCCGGCGTAGCCGCGTCCCCGCCCCGCGCCTCGCGCCCTGCCCGCCCCGGCTCGGTCTCGGGCTCCGGCTTGGCCCGCCGCCTAGTGGCCGCGGCGCTCGGCCGGAGGCGGCCGTGCTTTTCCAGGCCTTTCTGGAATTCTGGGAGGAGACTCAGGGCTGAGGACCGTGCGCGGGCTCGGGGCTGCTGGAGGCCCCGGCCGCGCCGAGAGCGCCCCCGTCCCGCGCCCGAGTGGCCCGAGCCATCCCGAGGCGCGCGCGTCCTGGCTTGGGTCTGATGTCCCGGCGTTGTTAGTGACAGCGCCCCGTTCACTTTTAGGAGTGCCCCAAGCGTCCCGCTCCCGGGCGATAAATCATTCGGTTCTGCTTCCTTGGGGAGCGTTTTGGGGAGACAACCCAACCGTGCACAGGGTCCCAAGAATGCTCTGAGAGATGTTTCCGGCCTCAAACGAGGTCAGAGAACCCATCAAACAAGATAAAACCGAGACCTCCGTGCGGGATGATCTAAAGAAACAGCAGTCTTCGGACAGCCCGCCCCCCACCCGGAGGCCTTCCAGGGGCTTTCCTTAAAGAGGCCGACAGGCCCTTCCCAGCAAAAGCTCCTGAGAACTGAGTTTCTTCCACCTCACCAAAGAAATGTTCTGAAGCTTGTTAAAATTGTAAGGAAGACTTTATTCAAGACTGTTGCAACAGGAGTCAAGACTTTCCCGATGGGGAGAGAGTTCAGTCTCAGCCCTGAATACACCAAGGACAGTGGAACTGGAGTCAGGGGGCAGGGGGAGGTCAGTGATGGAGGCACAGGTAGCTAAGGGTGAGGATCCTTGCTGAACCCTAGCCTGAAGGCAGGCTAAGGGCTTAGACATCAACGGGTGGGAGGTGAGGAACTTGATCAGATACCAAGGGTGATCAGGTATCAAAGGGAGAGAGCCTTTCCCAGCTGACTTAGCAGGATTCTTGCTGAGACTGGGCTGGGCAGGCCAGAGACAGGGCAGGCACCAAGGCCAAAGGCCCAGTTGAGAGGAGGACTCAGAGAAGCCTAAAGTTTGGTCACAAAGAGGGTCTCTGTCTCCCAAAGTTTCCCTCTCAGAGAGCTGCTGACCACCTCCCTGCCCCCCGCCCACTCTCCAGGCACCATCTCCTCCTTTCCTCCCTTCCTAACGACACCCCCTTCCCCACACTGCTCCCCGTCCTCGCTTCTGATGGACTTCATTCTCCCAAAATGCAGACTCTCCCAAATGCATTCTCCCAGACTGCCAGCCTCCTGCCCCTCCTGCACCACCCTGGAACTCTAATTACCAGTGTTCCAGCTCTTTGCAACCACCTGTAAAACACTTAGCTCAGGGCCTGGCTCACAGTGACATCGAATCCTGTAAGTGTTTGTGTTTCTAAGTTGCTTCAGTCGGGTCGGACTCTTTGTGACCCCATGGGCTGTAGCCCACCAGGCTCCTCTGTCCATGAGATTTTCCAGGCAAGAATACTGGAATGGGTTGCCATTTTCTACTCGAGGGGATCTTCACGACCTAGGGATCGAACCCAGGTCTCTTATGTCTCCTGCATCGGTAGGCGGGTTCTTTCCACTAGTGCCACCTGGGAAGCCTGTGTTGCTCTAATGTTCAGCAACTAAAATGACAGGTCTCTCTGCTTCTGCTACTAGTCAGAGTTCCTCACAAAGCCACTCTCCTGTCTCCTCATGACCTTTTCATTCATTCATTCATTCATTCATTCATTCGACAGCTACTACTGGACTGGGCCTCTGTTCGGGGCCCTGTGGAGGACCCTGAGCTATTTGTGACAAGGACACCATGGCCCAGGGCTCCCACAGTGCGCCCGTGGACTTGCTGTCTCCAGCTTCCCCTTTCCTGTCCTCTCTTCAAGGTTCTGGCTCCTTCCTACTGTCTGCTCACTCCCCTTTGTCCACAGAAGGTCTTCAGGGGGCCGCAGCTTGGTGGGTGATGGCGTCTGTGTCCTGCCTCCGGTGGCCGTCTTTGGGTCCACGGCTGGAGACCCTGACAGGTGAGTTCACAAAGCTGTTGGAGCTGAGTTAGGCTGAGCCTGCAGAGAAGGCAGCCCAGGAGGGTGCAGAGAAGCATGCACGTTCCAGGGCAAGCACAGGTGGGAGCTGCAAAGAAGGGGACCCCGCACCCCCACCGGAAGCTGGTGGCATGCCGGTCACCCAGGCCTTGCAGGCAGACTCGCCTCACCCCTGGCCCCAGGGTTCTGGAGAGCGCACTGAGGAGGTCTTGGCACACCCGGCGCCTGCCGAGAATCCCGCTGGTTCCCCATGAAAGAGTGAGCCCGTCCGGAGAACAACCCCATTTTCTGCCTCTGTGGGTCCCACACGCCCCTCTGTGGCTCCAGCGGATAATTGCATACAATGCATGGAATGTGGAATCTAAATCTGATATTTTCTGCTTCCTGCCTGACTCGAGGAGCCCTTTCCATGGCTGAAGCCGCAGTAACACAAACCACATTGCAGGGAACCTGAAGTCCCCCTTCCCACTGCCCTGGGAGGAACGCTCCAGGCCTCAGTTACCCCCTGCCCCAGGGAAGTCGCTGGACCTCAGGGCCAGTGGGGCAAGTTAGAGGCACCACAGCCCACAAGGAGTCTTATCTGAGCTCTGGTCAACCTTGCCCTGGTTTCTGGTGGGGTGGGACTTCTGGGGATCTGCTGATTTGTCACTGTTCTTTGTAGTGATGCTTTAGCGCTCTGGGGCAGGGGCTGGGTATCCCAAGTCGAGCAAGGCCACCACCTCATCTGTCCCTCAGCAAATGCTCCTGGGCACAGCTCTGGGGCTGGGACTTTATACCAGGCCCAGAGGATGCAGGGCTCACCCGCCACTCAGGGACCCTTGGAGATGCCAATGCAAGTGCAGGCCCACAGAGCGTTGAGAAGGGCGTATAGCTAACTCATCCAGGGGTTGGGACATACAGGAGTCCTTCCAAGAGGAGGCGGTGCCAGACTCAGGACGTGAAAAAGTAGGTTTTGTCTCTTTGAGCCTTGGTTTTCTCATTGGTGAAATGAGCATGATGGAAATCTTTAATCCATAACACTGCTGTTACTTAAATGAGCTCACTTGTGACTGAAATGAGAGGAAATGTATGGCAGACACCAAAAAGCCATTCACAGCCCCTTCCTGTTTGCCTCTTACTACCATTGTGGCTGCAGTGCATGACATTGCAAAGAGTCAGACACAACTGAACAACTGAAAGCGACCAGAGAGGCTAGACAGATACAGCATTCACACTGCTAAGGAGCTGCAGTTAGAAGATGCTTTGTGACATAATTCTGGCCATATACATACAAGTTCCCGCAGAGGGTTTACTTGCTCAGAGAAAGCTCTTTGTACATTTCCGGTGCTGAGTCAAAGAATTTCCTGCCTTAAAGTGTTGCATCTGTTTGGAACTTCCCTGATGGTCCAGTAGCTAAGACTCCACGCTCCCAGTGCGAGGGACCGGGGTTCCATCCCTGATCAGTGATCTAGATCTCATATACCGCAACTAAGACCTGGTGAAGCCAAGTTAAATAAATAAACATATATTTTAAAAAAAACTGTTGCTGCTGTCACAGTGCTCTTGGGAAATTTCCCTGAACTTGCATTCCCACCAAGGGTATATATTAGAATGCCTACTTGTATCTCCTTTCACCAAGAATGCATTTTACGTTTTTCAATTTTACTAACCTGAGAAGTAAATAAAAATGGTATTTTTTAATTTGCAATGATTTGCTGGTGACTTTGGGGATTTTGATGTTGTCACCCTATATTTTTCTAAGTCTGTGTTCCCAGCCATCAGGATAAGCACTTTGACTAGAGCTCTCCAACTCTTTATTCAAGTCAGAAAAAAATGCCTGGGGGGACAGGACCCAGCTGGGGCTCTGCCCTAAATTAAGGTATTATTCAGAGGTGGATCAGCTACCTAGGAAAGTGGGGAACACACACAAAGGGGCTGCCATGCCTAAGGCCACGTCCCCGGTTTTGTAGGCAGCCTCACCCTTTGCAGCCTCAGATCCCAGCCTCCTGAAGATCTCACAGATGCCTTTGCCATGTGGACCAGAGAACCTGAGACAGACCATCCAGGGGATGACACCGGGTCCCCAGGTCAGCCGTGTGATGTTTGACACTGTGCTGTGGGAACATGAGACATTCTGGTCCCAGGGTCCTCATCCTCTGGAGTGTCTGCAAGATCTCACATCCTAGACTTGGGGACACATTTTCTGGGTCCTCCAAGCCTGTTCTTGACCTCTGTTAACCCCTTTTCCCAGGCAAAGAAGACAGTTTGGTCTTCTCTGTTCATTATGTGACTAGAAACTCAGGGCTCCTACCTGACAAATTGGAGGACCTGGCATTCCGAATCACTGCACATTCTATGTGTTTTTATTCTAAAAGGAGCTTATTTTATTTCAATCTCAGAAAATCTAATGGAGGCATAGCTTCAGACTATTAATGTTCACGATGGGCAAGTCGACAGAGAGGAAATGCCTGAAAGACCACACAGAAGAAACTGGATGGACAGGTTTGATCAGTCTTTGGACGGGTTAAACCAGGACTGGCTTAATCAGAAAGCTGTAAAAGCCAGCGTTTATTGAGCCAGGCACTATGGTATGGCTTTTACCTACTTTGTTTCCTTTATCCTTAGGTACAGCTGACAGGTAGGAATCTCTGTCTCCATTTAAAGGTGGAGGATTAAAAAAAAAAAAAGGTGGAGGATAATTAACTTAAGGTCACAAAACTAGTTCACTATAAAAGTGGTTTGGAAGCCAGTGTTTATCATGACTCCACCCTCTGGTTTCTTTCCCAACCTCAGTGGAGGTGTGTGGTCCTTGTCCCCTCAACTCCCAGGATACCTTAGAGCTCCAGGTAAACTGGTTTAAACTCAGGGTCCCCGTGCAGGGCTTCCTGAGTCTTCTCCCAGACTGCTTGCAAATCTGAGCAGGAATGGGCTTCAGCCACACTGTG